GGTAACGGCAGCAACAGCGACGGCCTGGAACCCGGTGAACGGAGTGGGAATCCAGCGGTGGCCGTGGCAGTTGATACGAATGATCGCGGTGATCGCGACAAACGCGACGAGGAGAACGCCGCGGCAACAACAACTGCGCCGCCGGTGGTCAGGGTAGACCAGCCGACCACGATGTCAGCAACCGGCACGACGAAACGAGGATTCGTCGCGGCACACGCGAAAAACGAGCTACCGGCTCCCGCGAAATTTCAAAGGAACACGATCGTCGACTCGTCGTCCGCGACCATGGCCAAGGAGGAGAGGAAAAAGGGTGGACTCGGTGGTTTCCTGCAGAGATTCTCGAGGCTACGGTTCAGTGGTAAGTCGAAAGTGCCGCGGTCCGAGGTGCAGAAAAAAAGTGACACGCATGGCCAAGTGAATCGGGTGGCCGAGGAAAAGACTAAAAAGGAGCCGGATTATATCATCATACCGTTGCATCCTCCGGAAGAGGAGAAACGGAAGGAGATTCATCCAGAGAACAGGACCAACGACTCCGACAACAACAGGACTACCAGTGATGTTCAGCGAAGTTCTTCCAGTATCAGGTGAGTGGTCTTACGATTCGTGCGAGTTCAGAATTCATTATCGAATATGAAATATTAGGTTAATGAATTTTTCGTGGTATATATACGCACATGTGTACTTGCTAAAGTCACTAACTGCAGTTTTTGAATTATCTTCAAATCTTACTGTAGAAATTGAATCTTCTCGATTACGAAAACATGGGAGAAGTAAAAGTAGTAATTTTCATTTGTACTTTTGTTAATCGTTGTAAATGTAACTGTAGTCAGACGTGCATGCATGTGTAGTACGATGCACGCATGTTTCGAAAGTGACAACGCAAGAAAGTATGTTATTTAGAGGAAGCGAAAAGCTCTTCTTGAACATAATTATATAATATTAAAGCAATCTCAAGTGCCCAAACGCAGCAGTAAATAACTAGGTATTCAAGAAAGTTCCTGCTAATTCCATGTTTCTTGTTAGACTGTATCGTATTTTGAAAGTACAAAAGTATCGAAATGAAACGCGGAAAATATTGATGCCTTGTCGATTTCGTTTTGACGATGTTTACAGCAGTCTCATGCTCGAGTAACGTTGACTTTGACCTTAGAATTATAATTGTTTACACGGTTTCGAGCTACTGTTATAGAACTCTCACCGTGAATCACTTGGTTTACACAGCTTTCTACGGCTTCCGTTAAACATTTGCTTCACCAATCGATGGTGAAAAGCGATAGCAAAATTTGGAATTTTTTATGGCTTTATTGTTAGGTTGTCTGGCGTTGGGGGTATTGGGGTAATTAGGACTTTTGTTTGGGTCAGGTTTAGTTTTAGTGGTTGTGTCGAAGTTGGGAACTTAGAGATTTAGAGATTTAGGATTTGGGGGTTGGAGATTGAGGATTTGGGATTTAGGGATTTTGGTATTTAGGGATTTGGAATTTAGGAGTTGGAGATTTGGTTATTTGAGGATCGGGGAATTAGGGATTTGGGGATTTAGGAATTTGGGGATTTAGGAATTTGGGGATTTAGGGATTTGGGGACTTAGGAATTTGGGGATTTAGGGATTTGGGGACTTAGGAATTTGGGGACTTAGGAATTTGGGGATTTAGGGATTTGGGGACTTAGGAATTTGGGGACTTAGGAATTTGGGGATTTAGGAATCTGGGATTTGGAATTTAGGAGTTGGAGATTTGGTTATTTGGGGATTGGGGAATTGAGAATTTGGGAATTTGGGGATTTGGGGATTTAGGGATTTGGGGATTGGGGAATTGGGGATTTGGGAATTTGGGGATTTAGGGATTTGGGGATTTGGGGACTTAGGAATTTAGGGACTTAGGATTTGGGATTTGGGAGTTAGGGATTTAGAAATTTTGGTATTCAAGGGTTTGGAGATTTAGGAATTTTGTCATTTGGAAATTTAAGTATTTAAAGATTTGTGAATTTGAGGAATTAGGGAATTGAATAATCAGGAATTTAGGAATTTAGCAATTTAGGGGTTTGATAATTTAAGTATTTAAAGATTTGAGGATTTGAACATTTGTGAATTGGGAACTTTGGAGTTAGGGGTTCACAACTTAAAAATTCAGAAATCAGGAACTTCTAAGTTGAATATTTGAGTGTCAAAAATTTCGTCATTTCGGAATTTCAGAATTCGAAAATTGGAACTCGAAAAGTAAATAAAGACCCCAGAATAGTCGAAGCAAAACGTAACACAGCGTAATCTAAACATTCGTCGAATGCAAAAACGAAGACCATAATGTTGTCTTACATAATTGCCGGATTATGAAAGGCACACACAGTATGTATCAGTTGTCTGTTTACGCGGTATCTCTCGAGATTATACGAACGACAGTGAACGCTCTGTTTCGTAGATATTCAACGAACTAACTATTTCTGATAAATGAAAGAGTCTTTTACCATGCTTCTAAATTTTACATTTTAACCAGTATTTGAACCTTCTACTAGGTGTACAGTATCGTATTACCTTCGCAATTAGCCTTAATAATTAGTTAAACTATGCTTGAGGCATGGACATAAATGACCGAACGTTCTCCATATTGGCACCGGAAGCCGAGTGTGTAGTATGAATATTCCCGGTGCGACTCGTTGATCGATTTCGTAAACAATCGATCGTGCAGCGATCACTATGATGTCTCGAGGTTCACGAAACTAGACGCTTAAAATTAACATCAAACCTACCAACATTCAATACACCAAAACTCCAAACACAATATAAAAATAAAAAAATTCACATAAATTACCTCGACAAAAATTAGCACATTTTCAAGTACTTCCGCTACTTTACAGACATCAAACGCTTCTGTATGTCCATAAAAATCAGCACAGATTTCAAGCACCTCAATAAATCAAAAAAAGAAATCTCGCAAACGGGCCAATTAACCGATTTGGTAATTTGAGCGTTAAAAATGCTCGCACTGAGCATGGCAACAGAAAAAATGTCCTCGATGAAGAGTTTCATCGAACCTTCTTATGGCAGACGTCAGAAACTTTCGCCGAGGAAGAGCGTTGGAGGACGCGCTCTGTCTCGATAGTTGGCCTATTTCGATTATTGTAACAATCGTGATGGCATTTTCGATGGCCGTGAATTTGTTTGTAAGCCATTCTCCGTACGAGTTCGCGCGTCTGAAAGCAACGAGGTCAGTGATACCGAGGAGGAGGCTTTCGTAATGGCGGCCAGAGTCGACGAACAGCTGCCAGTCCCTGACACCCACTCCTCTCGATCATCCGTTCCGTTCGCTTCGATTTCATTCCAGCTGCGTTTAATTCTGCTTTCATCGCGTCCTACGTGTAAACACGCGCTGTTACAAATCCCTGCGCCTTTTATGGATCGTTTTCTTCGATCAGTCGAACTTGGAAGCGTTTAGGGTGGTAGAAGCAGTTTAGGCTTTAGCGGTTTTCTGATGTGTACGTGTTTTGGGGTCGTATGTGGGAACACCTGGTTGGGAACTGATGGGACAGGTGAATTGCGATGTGGGTGGATAGGGAGGTGAATGGAGGGATTAAGGAGTAAGGCTGATTGATTGCAGGGGAGTCGAGGGAGCCTTTGATAAGAGGGGTTAGGTTGGGGTAATCAAAGTCGTTTAGGGTTCTGGTTTTAGAGTGTTGCGTGAGGTGTGTTTGGATGCAAGGTATATTTCGCAATTTGGGGATTTGGGGATTTGGGGAATTAGGGAGTTGGGAAGTGAGGGATTTGGGAGTGTAGGAGTGAAGGTATTTGGGGATTCGGAGATTTGGGAATTTTGGGATATGTGGATTTGAGGTTTTAAGGGTATATGATGTTGGGAATTTGGTGTATGTGGGTTTGGGAACTGAGAGATTCGGGGTTTGAGAGTTTGGATGATTAGGGATTTGGGAATGTGACGATTTGGGGATTTAGGGATTTGGCAATGTGACTATTTGGGGATTTGGAGATTTGGGGATGTGACAAATTAGGGGTTTAGGAATTTGGAATGCGACAAACTAGGGATTTCGGGATTTGGTAATGTGACTATTTGGGGATTTAGGGATTTGGGAATGTGACAAACTAGGGATTTAGGGATTTGGTAATGTGACTATTTGGGGATCTAGGGATTTGGGAACGTGACTATTTGGGGGTTTAGGGATTTGGCAATGTGACTATTTGGGGATTTGGAGATTTGGGGATGTGACAAATTAGGGGTTTAGGAATTTGGAATGCGACAAACTAGGGATTTCGGGATTTGGTAATGTGACTATTTGGAGGTTTAGGGATTTGGCAATGTGACTATTTGGGGATTTGGAGATTTGGGGATGTGACAAATTAGGGGTTTAGGAATTTGGAATGTGACAAACTAGGGATTTAGGGATTTGGTAATGTGACTATTTGGAGGTTTAGGGATTTGGCAATGTGACTATTTGGGGATTTGGAGATTTGGGAATGTGACGAATTAGGAATTTAGGGATTTGGGAATGTGGTAAACTAGGAATTTAGGGATTTGATAATGTGACAATTTGGGGATTTAGGGAGTGAAGATGTGACAATTTGAGAATTTAGGTAATGGAGATGTGACAATTCGAAAATTTCAAAATTTGGTAATTTAAGTATTTGTAAATTTGTAAATTTGGGAATTTGAGGATCTAATTTGAGCATCCAAATATTTGGAAATGTGAAAATTTCAGAATGTGATCATTTTGGATGAATCAGAGATTTATTTGTTATAGAAGTTTAGAGGTTTGAAGTTTTAGAGATATAATAACGTTACAATTTGATTTTAATAATTCAGGAATTTTGAGATCTACAAATTCAGCTATTTGGATGTGATAATTTAGGAACTTGATAACTTCGGAATTTGCCAATTAGACCAAGTAATTTGCATACCTGAGAAAGGAATTCAGAACTTGAAGTACATGGAGAACTATTAGACCCAGAACGTAATCCTAAGCTAAATACTAGTTGACTAAGGATTTTGCAACTTTGAAAACCTAACAAATAAAAAGACCCAAATTCATTCCAAAGTTTGAAAGCTTATCACTAAAATGAAAACTGAAGTTTGTCACCAAGATGAAAAGTAAAATTTAGCAGCAAAATGAAGACTAGTGTTTGTCACCAAAATGAAAACTATAATTTGACAGCAAAATGAAAACTAAAATTTGACAGCAAAATGAAAAGTAAAATTTAGCAGCAAAATGAAAAGTAAAATTTAGCAGTAAAATGAAGACTAGTGTTTGTCACCAAAATTTGACAGCAAAATGAAAGGTAAAGTCCCTCAGCAAAAAGCAACAGTAGAGACATTCTCTAATGTCACATTTCCCCGACTTTATGGTCGAATGTGTCACATTGCTCCATAGATTGTCGGCGCTGTCCTATCCCCGGTGCATTCCCCGCGTTCCGTGTCTAATTCCACTCTAATCAGGCTTCTCGCTCATCCAATCGATAGGATTTCACTCTCGTTCGCGTTTGTCCCGATCGTCGGCCCCGTAGATCGTTCTCTTCCCTCGTGTACACCGGGGAACCAGTTCGCCTCTGCTCTTAATTGAATTTCACTCTCGCCCCGTTCCGCATTCG